CCTACACAGCCTACATCTCATTAATCCCCTACATATACCTATACAGCCTACATTTCATTAATCCCCTACATATACCTACACAGTCTACATCTCATTAAATCCCCCAAATATACCTACACAGCATACATCTCATTAATCCCCCACATATACCTATACCGTCTACATCTCATTAATCCCCCACAAATGCCTACACGGCATACATCTCATTAATCCTCTACATATACCTACACAGCAATACATCTCATTAATCTCCTACATATACCTACACAGCCTACATTTCATTAATCCCCTACATATACCTACGTAGCCTACATCTCATGAAATCCCCCGATTATACCTACACAGCATACATCTCATTAATCCCCCACATATACCTACACAGCTTACATCTCATTAATCCCCCACATATACCCACACAGCCCACACCTCATTAATCCCCCACATATACCTACACAGCCTACACCTCATGAATCCTTCACATTTACCTTCACAGTTTGCATTTCATTAAATCGTTTCTAGAGTCATTACTCATTATATTCAGTGGTTATCAACTCATGCAGAACCAAGTGGTCTTAAGATATCTTCGAACAAGTAAATTGACTATCGTTAGTCAAATTACCCGTTCACTTGCCGTGCCAGCCGTTCGAACGGATACCGTAAAGAACGTTTTTGCGTGAGAGGTTACATATTTGCCGATGCATTTTTGTTGTTGAATCGGCAGGGCTATCTCTTTTAACGACGCTTTTAGAGTCGAGAAAGTAAAATTGGCGATGTACTCACTTCTTTTTACGTGACGCGTGATTGGTGAAAAAAATTATCCGTGATGCGTGATTTAGTAGAAACATTCAGCGTACGTAATGCGTGATTGGTACGCTACCTTTGCCACCCTCTCGATAGTGATAGACAAACTGAATGAATTTGTCACAGATTCGAATCATCGGCTCGGTCTGTATAAAACGCAGACGGCGGACTGCAGACTGCAGGGCGGTTGAAATGCAGACTGAGGGTAAAATGCAGACGACTGCAGACCAGGGGTAAAATGCAGACTGCACACTATAGACTTGTTAAGTATATATTGTGTTATTGGCATTATCTAGTGCTAACAGTAAACAGGCTTTGGGGTATCGAATGGTCTTTGCGAGCATGCGAACAGTGCGTTTATTTTTGCGAGCATGAGAAGTGGTCAAATTTGTTTTGCGAGTAAGCGAGCACTTAAGAAAAACGGACAGATGGCAAGCAGCGAGCACTTCGTAAAAGTTCTGCTGGTTAAGTTTTCCAACGTTACCTATTTATAAAAGGAAACGTTGTTTTACGCCAAGAAATCAGTGACTCCGCCAAAACAGACCAAAACAAGACAATCGGGCGAAAGCTAGGCACACCTTAAGATCTCGTTGCGGTTCAACCAATCCCAGCAGCTTGCAGCCAATTTTGAGTTTCAATAAAACGTTCACAAAACGAGGAAGCATGTTTCCAGAAATACTCGTAGCGAGTACTTGTTTCCCCAATGCTTCCCCGTTTTGCCGTAGGGGCGCATTGTTTCCAGCGTCAATTGTTGTTTCCAAGATGCAAGTTATGCTTCTGCTTCACGGCAGAACATTTCGTGTTTTCGCGCTCCATGAGATCATGTTTCCTCGTTTGACCAATTGCAAAAATTTTGGGAGCATGAGCAAGCGAGCACTCGTCTAATCCGAGCAAAGGCCAAATTTTTCGAGCACTTTTGAATTTAATAGGACCACTGGATACCCCTACGGTTATTCATGCTAGTCTGCTCTCCGGTTAGCCTGAATATCACTCCGGTTAGCCTAAATATCACCCTGGTTAGACTGAATATCAATCTGGTTAGACTGAATATCAGTCCGGTTAGACTGAATATCAATCTGGGTAGACTGTTCTTAATTTGTATTTAAGACACATTGCACGGGTAGGAAACTTTGACATTCTTTAATTTGCTATGGGATTCGTATTCACTTGTTCTTAGATAGTTCTAGATAATATTTCCACAGGAGCCATAAGGAGCCATAATAAGCAAAAAGCTTACCTTTGTTTGTCAAATCCTTACACTTCCAGGCAAGACGGATACTTCCGGTTCTTCCGGCTTTCTTTTAGCGATTCCAAGAAAACTGTAATCAAACCCCGCCGGAAATGGAAAAAAAAATTGAGACGAGAAGAAATTGGTCCTGGATTCCTGGCCAAGGAAGAAAAAGGAGGCGACAGCATTGAAAATAAATAACCTGTTATGCTATAATTGATTACCAAAGAAACTGCAATACTTCATCCTTCGCAACCATTTTATCAACCTCACCCCTCCCTTGTGTTAAATGTTTAACCTCCATAGGTTGAGCGCTGCTTCAGGTAAATGCGGGCTCTCATAACATGCTCGTCTCGCTTTTGCTTGTCACGATAGCTTGTCACGACAGTTGTGCGAAGAGATGGGCCCGAGGAAACATGGCCGTCATCGATCCAAAGAGGACGTTCAGCAAAATAGCAACAAGGCTAAGCACACGAAATCTCTTAAAAACAAAATCAGAGATGTACAAAGACTGCTTAAAAAGGTGAGACAAATTCTGATCAGTTTTTACGGAGTCCAGTTGCACGTGTTCCAAACTTGTTCCTTTAGCTAAAGCAAACTTCAATGTTTTTTTTATTTGTATAAAGTTAATTAAGCTTATTTCAATTACCTCAACGTTTTAAAGAGCTTTTCTCTTTTTTAAGAATTTTAACAGACTTAATGCCTATCATTCAGTCAGTAGCATCTCGTACATTTTGAACAGGGAGATTAAAGATTTACAGTTCTCAATAGACAACGTTCTTTCAGAGCACTATTAGGTACGATTTAAGTCATTGCTAATGTCAAATTACAGTTTTCTTTTGGTTTCAATTTTGTTCCAGTAAACGTGTTACTGTTACTTGCTCTGCTTGAGGTTGAAGGACAGGAATGTGTTAGAGTCACTGAAAGGTTTAATTAAAAGATATAATTTGTCCTTGAAAATACAAAAGTCAAATGTAATTGATCATGTAAATTGTGTTTTGTCATTTTTGTGGTTCAAAATGGTTTGACCAAGGAGCTTGTGCAGTAAGGTTAGTTGTGAGGATGTTAAATTATTTGCAGCAGTATCCTTTAACAGGCAAAATATATTCAAATATATTCATGTGACAAGATTGGGAATGCTCGTCAGAGAACATGAATGAAACCCCTAAAGGAGATCGAGACCAATCTGGACATTTTTTTGACCCCTAAAAAATACCACATCAGTTAGAGCGTTTTTTTTTTTGTTTCCTCAAGTCCACACAGAAAGATACTGATTGACAGCTAAAATAATGATTGTGGTGCCTCGTCCTTAAATCACCTTAAATGAGACCAAAATCTGTAACCAAGATCTACATGGGTATTTAGGCACTTAATGGTTGCCATGCCTCTATCAGAGTGCAAATTACAAAAGCAACATCAGAGATCAGTCTGCTTGAGAAATTCTAATCACCATAACAGGTGGACTTGCAATATCCCCTTGATTTAAAACCTTAGTTTACAATTGTTGAGACAATACACATTTGTGAGTATTTTCAGTTGTGAGAACTATTGAAAGTAGCAAACAATGTTTATATTTTAAAATAATTTGACAAGAAGTTTACTTTTGAAAGTTCTTGATCTTTGTGACCTAGAGTGATCTCCCAGCCACTATACGGGTTGTACAAGAAAGAATGCTTGATGTGTTAAAAGAGACTATCAAGGATAAAGCCAAAGAAGACAAGGAGAGAAGGATTTTAAAAAGATCCAAGAAAGTCAAATTCTTTGGTGAGTGAGTATTAAATATGATACAAATGTACACGTAATATACAGTGGAATCCCAATTTCTCAAACCCTCATTTTTTTAAATCTCCTATTAACTCCAACCAAAAGTCGTTTCCCTCTTCTCAGTCAAACACTGTAATTTTACCCCGATTTCTATGATTTTGTGAGCAAACTTTCGTTTCCCTTGGAGGTTCAAAAAATGGGGATTTCAATGTAGTTTTTTTTAATTTATTAGTCAAGGTGAATTTTACAAACCTTTTGTACTTAGTGAATTTCAAGCTGGCCCATGGTGTGGGGAAGGTTGCAATGGACTTGTCTAGTATCCCATATAGGGAAGGGGGAGTAGAGAAGTACTCCTGTTGACTTCATACCACTGAAAGCAGTACAAACTTGAGCATTTAGAGGACACTGTGAACCAATTTCAACTTGAGCATAGTCTTTAAGTGAACAAAAGAAAACTGATTAGCAACTCCTAAACCCCCAATGACTGTCATCAGACTGAGTGTAAAGTCACATGTTTTTTTTTTCTTAATGAATTGTGACTTGACATGCACTATAATATGAAAATTTATTTAATAATTTTAGTATTAATATTTTGGAATTTTTTCTTTTATTTGTGCAGAGAAAAGAAAGGTTTTCAGAAAGTACAAAGCATGTGTCAAAGAGCTAAACGAAACCAAGGACAATAAAACACAGCAAGTGAAATTTTCTATTCTGTTGGTTTGGTACATCCTATTGTGTAGCTCCAGAAAATATCCATACCTCCCCCACAGAAGGGATTTTTTCTAAGACCCCCNACCAGAAGCAGCAGAAGTTGCTGACTAGATCCCATAAGAATTAATAAGTCATTATTACGCCTATGCAAACTCTGAAGTTTACAATATGTAGATCTAGAAAATATCCATACCTCCCCCATGGAAGGGACTTTTTAATCAGACCACATCCCACCCCTCTGGAAATTCCAATTAAGTTTCATACATTTTTGAAAAATTGTTTCGTCTTACAGAATCCCCCACCCCCCAGGAAATTCCAATCCCTGCTGTGGGGGGAGTATGGATATTTTCTGGACCTGCACATTTATTATGTATAGTGGACTGCAAGGTACCCAAAGATGGGGTGTTGCAGAACCAAATGTGGGTGACCTTTCTGGTTTATAAAAGAAGACAGGGTAGAGGAGGACCCCCTCTTTGTCCATTGCAAACAGATGTGGGGGAACGTGAAAAAAGTTTAGGTTTCCATGTTCCCAATGGTGCATTTCTTTTTAATGATTCAGAGCAGGATCAATGATCCAAGACCTCTCAAATCATAGTGCATCAAAGGAACTGGAGATGAATCCTTGCCCAGAGTGGACTTACTGGTTTCTTTGACAGGGCTAAAAGAAAACTTGAATTCCAGCTTGCCCTTTGGACAAGCAGGTCTCAAATTTTGCTTGTTCCAAGAAGGTCTTAGTTTGCTTAAATTTTTATTTTGTTGACAGACAACTTGAATTGCCCGGGTCCTTGCCCATTAGGCAAGTAAGCAAGAAAAGCTACTTGCCCCCCACAACTGGAAAGCACTTTTTGTGAGCCTGAACCCAATGAAACACACCCTAAGTTGATTTTTCAGCAGTATTAAAAGTGGTATTCAGTTGACTTCCTCTCTTTACTAAAAAGCCTTTGTGATGCAGGCGTTTTTTTCCCTTCATTTTTCATCTCAACACAACCAATATGAGAAACTCAGCTAGCCTACCATACAAAAATTTACATTTTCGTACTGACATTGTGTTTGGTTTGTTTTTCATTTGTTTCCCGTAGAGAAACTTTGGAGAAGGAGCTTGAAGAGATTAAACGACACTGGAATTATGTTGTTGTGAGTTATTATTTTAAGCCGTATTGCATGCGCAACTAACTTGAGTTAGAATGTACTTCTCTTGTTCAGCCAGTTGTGGTAATTTGCTAATGTCTGTTTTAAGCTTCTTCCAATTTATTGCTTTAATACTAGGGTATCAGGGTTTTCATTAACATTTTCAGCAGGAGGGTATCCTGGTTTTCACAGTGGGGCAAAACTTTTTGAACTGAACTTCTTTATAAGAGAAACTTTCCCCTTGATGGTAGGGGTGGTGAATGGTCCTTCAAAGACTCTGGGTCTCGCAAAATTTTAGTCAAATTTCACAGGTGTCGCAGTCTCGTTTTTTAGTGGTTACTGTGCGTCTCTCAATCTCCTTTTTTATAAGAAGCTGTCTCGGTGTCTCGATTTTTCGCAAGGCTAAAGGTCTCGAAGTCCCGATTCATTTATCTGTTTTCATAAGTGACTTCTTCTCGTCACTTGATGTTGAATGAAGCAACTTTCAAATTTCAGAGAAAAAGTTTTAAATCGTAACTTCTCCTAACTCGTCTGAATTCCACAAAAAGCTACAAAACCTACCGACACATCTGTTTTAATTTGGTGCCAGAAAAATAATTATTTTGTTCTAGGATATTAACGTAGTGTGTTATAATTGAATTTCCAGATACAGCCAGTTTGAAGAAGCTGGTTAAAAGGCTGTACAAGCTCATTCTAGCTCTTAACTAAATCTGGGGCTCAAGTTTTAAGAGTCTGAACGTCTCGAGCTTGCACGTAAAACGCTTTGAAATCTTGGTCTCGCAACCTAAAAAGTCCAAATGTCTCGGGCTTGCAGAGAAAAATGCTTGTCTTGTCTTCCCGTAAAATCTGGCATTTACCATTCGCCACCCCTGGTGGTGAAACCAGACTGGCAAAATCATCCTCACAGCCCCTCAATTTGTCCAGTGCCCGGCACTTAACAAAAACCCTGGGCTATGCAAAGAGTTATTAGTATTTATCATTTATCAACTTTTTTCCTTTTGTTCAATGCTTAGCATTTTCCACAAGACACAAAGTATATTTCTCTTTTTCCATTGACGCCATACACTAATGAAAAAGTTGTTGAGAAGCAAGGTACAGTTCATGTTGGTTATTTACATAATTTGTGTCATGAATTGCTATGTCATTTGGCATTGATAATATTTTGTGGGTACTCAGAGGTGGTTAACCACTTTAGAAACAGTAAGGAGAAAGGAATTGAGTTTTTAGAACAATTTTTTTTGTAATGAAATAAGAAGACATCACTGGAATGGACTCTTAAATACTGTTAGTATTGAATTCTACAAGCATTTTGTTTGGAGGTTACTGAATCATGCAATTTTAGTCCACCTGTATTGAAAGAGCTCCATGAAACCAGTCCATGAATGGATTGAGTCAAGCCAACTTTGAGAAACATTTTGTTAGCAGCCTTCTTTGATAAAGTGTGTACATTGGGAGCTGGTCAATATCTTCACTTACTTACTTCAGGGGTTTCATCAATGTTTTCTGCAGGGGGGCAACTGATTTTCACAGACGGGCAAAACTATTTGAACTGAACTTCCAATATAGAAAAACTTTCCTCTAGATGGTCAATCCGGGTGGGCAAAATTGTCCTCGCAACCAGTCAATTTGCACGGTGCCCAGCCCTTAATGAAACCCTTGTTACTTGCTTATGCCTACTCTGTACCCCGTCTGGGGCATAGGCCACCAACAAGGGTTCTCCAGGCATCTCTGTCCAAGATTTTCTCTCTAGCTGGCTCCTGGTCAGCCCCAATCTCCTGATGGCTGCTTCATTTCCCAGTACCTTGAAGTGTTTCTTGGCCGTCCCATGTTCCTCTTAGCCAGGGGTTTCAATACTGTACCTATACAGGATCCTATTATGTTGTAAATGATATGGCAAGTCTAGCCACTGTGGCACACCTGGTTACTAACACTTGTCTTCATGACTTCTATCCTATGGGTAAATCAATTTCAGAACAAATCCTTGAACTCATCTCGGAGAAGGTAGCAAGCGGAGAGTTAGAAGATGCATCTGCAACAATTGATCAAATGGGCAGTGGATCAAAAGAAAGAAAAACAGCGAGACCTAAACTGAGACTAACTGAACAGGCTGATGTTCCGCAAGGAGACAGTGGAGATGGTATGGCATTAGAGCTTAAACAGCCATGTCAAGACCATGTTGCAGACATTATTTCAAAGAAGCAACAGTTTTTCATTGCAGAGTGTTGCAACCCTGAAAATGTTGCACAAGGCATTTTGTGTGTGTGTGTCTTTTTTGTTTGGTACGGGGGCGTGTTTTTGTACTTTAAAGTGCATCAAGTTCATATTTTGAATTTCAAGGTAATTTTGTACACATAACACCTTTACTCTAGAGTTAGTTCATCGTTTAAATACTGGCAGATTTTATCATCTTTTCTGACTTAATTACGATTTGTGCTCTGAACGATGTACTTAATAGCCTTGACTTTTTTCCTGTCTGTGCTAACTAATAGAAAGTGAAGAACAAGGACCATCCCCCAAGTTGAACCTCAACGATGACTTTTTTATGGACTCAAGTGCAAGCACAGGTAAGAAATAGTAATTTAATGCACCTATTTTGTTCAGAAGTGTGTAAATGCATGAACACACATATTTGGGATATAATGCAACACTTCCTTAGACACCACTTTCCTTTGCCATCTGTAAAAATCTGGACAAAACTAAGTGAAACCAACAGTGGAAAAAATAGGCCGAGAATTGGTAAACGTCAAATTTGCTCAGTACATGTAGGTAGGTTTTGTAAAATTCCTACTAGCGCTAGTGAAATACGGTTAAACGCTTATGCGAGAAGACACAAAATATTAATTTTCGTGAAAATCAAACTGGGTATGGTTGTCACTTACATTTTAAAGCAAATACAAACCAGAAAAAGCTGAAAACCAGCGCAAGGTTTCCAGTTGTTGGTTTTTTTTTTAATCCTTTGGTACTTGAAATATCTCTGATTTGCAAAGGTAAGTGTTTTAATCATTAACTTTCTCTCGTCTTTTTTAAAATAGGGTCTCTAGTTGACGAGGAAAAGTCAAAGAAGGAGAAAAAGAAACCAACACCAAAGCTAAAGCGACCTAAATTTAAAATTCAGAAAAGTTAGTTTTGCTCAATGTATACCTCATACGGACCGAAGCTGCGTTCCATGAGAATGCCTTGTGCTTTCTGTGATATATTATTCAAATCACGGTAGATAATTTACGAGAGCAACAATATTAACTTAAGAAACTAGAGTACATATATATTTTCATACAAAATTATTTCCTAGAATTGTTATATTTGAAGACTTTGTTGTGATATTTACACTACATGCATGTATTTTGTCGATTATAAAATTGTGTGAAATCCATTTGAAAGCTCGACAGGAATGTATTTACAATAGCAGAGAATTATCATTATATGGAAATCTGTCACAAGTCACCAGTTAACGCTGAATATAGCATGTGCCTTGCTCGTGGACAAAATTATAATTATACTTCTTTAGTGATACAGACTGGAAGCTTAACATAATTGCAGTTCTCGCTCAAGTAAAAATTATATTCCCTGAGAAAATTTTGGTTGAAAGCAGGGTTGAAACAAGCTATTTATTGCGAAATAAGATAAACAAAAAGTTTAATAGTGTAAAATATTTAAATCGTTCCTAACTAAGTGCCAATAGTCAGAATTTCTTCCTCGTTGTATAGTTTTGGAGAAATGCATTTTTTTCAGTCCTTCTTTGTAATTTGAAATAAGTAACTTACTTACTACGTGCAAACTGAATTCCTATCGCAATAAAGATTTGAACTCCATATGTGAATTCTTGATATATTGTTCCACTAAATTAATTTTACCGGGATCAAAAACTCCAAGGCCCCGTGCACACTACGCCGGAGGAATTTGAAAACGTAGCTTTATTTCTACGGTTAGGCCTGCCGTCCACACTAATCCGTCACGAAAACAGAGCGTTTGGAAAATGCTCTTCAAACCGGGGAAAGTTGAAAACGCCGGCTTTGTGTTTTAGTGTGGACAGAAAACATTTTAAAAACGGAGTTTTTCGATAATGTCTTGATAATCATGTGATTTTCCTGCTCGTTTTTAAATTTCCTCGGCGTAGTGTAAACGGAAAACATTTTATGCGTTTTCAGAGCGAAAACGCCGTTTTAAAATAATTTGTATAACTAGATGATTTCAGGGCTACTGTCAATGTGGCTGGCCAATAAATTGATAAATGGATTTTCAGATTCTTCAAGTGAAAAAAATGCTACCGTCAGGGTTACTTTGTAATAATTTATTTCATGTGCACTTATTGTGCATGTGAAATGTAGAAAGATAGACCAATTGAATTGAATTAGACACGGCAGAAATGCGACGTATTAATTGGGCCTAAGAGACATTTATATGAAAAATCGCGATTCCTCTCTCCTAACAGTACTGTAAATCTATATTCTTCAAAATTAATCAAAAAACCTTCTGGTTATCTTTTACATGTTATTTACAAAATCTTCAGAACTTCAATTACTCTCAAATTATTGGACATCGCACTTTTAACTTTTTCCATACATTTACTGTAAGTTTTGCCGTGTTTGCCCCCAAGTAAGATGACACGACAAACCGTAAAATAGTTTATTGCAAAGAAAAGCCTCCATCCCCAAAATACAATTGCCTGTCAGATAACTAGACCCAGAGTGCTACTCTCTGCCTTGTCGAAGCCAAATCAATTTTGTCTGTGAAAGTGGTACATACGTTAATTGATATCAAGTATCTACCAATATACCGCATACATATATCGCATGGACCGCAGCACGAAAGCCCAGTTCAAGTTCGTCCCCAGGATCTCTCCGAGACTGGACTCTCGTAGGACGAGTTGCGCCAAATGCATCGCATGTTATCACGTGATCAATTTTTCGTGCCATGAAATTTTTCTTGAGAAAATTTTCTTTTCTGCAGCCGATTCAATCTTTACAAAAATAAAGAGTTCGCACAAGCATTTGAGTTTGCTGGATCTTCTACAACTTTTTTCTAAATTCATGGAACAAGATGAAATGTGTTTTTCGCTCTTTGTGTTAATAATTTTTTTTTTTTCGATCCGTGCCGCTAATGTTTCGAGATGAAGAACTGAAGCAATCTCCTGGTTGGAAGGAGGAGAAAATAAAGCGGCATCAACCACGATAATCAGATTACATTTTTGCATTTCTATTTATCCCAAAGACACTACAAACGGGAATTTACAAGACGAAATAATGGATAATCCTCAATCCTTACTACAAAATTAATTTGACTCTTCACAAATGATTTCATCCTGCATTGTTTTATCAGGTATTTTGGCTAGGTTTTAGCAATTATGTTGGGCTCCTTTGAATGCCAACCTTAATGCAAAATGGGTTTTTGGACCACACGTATCTTATCACTAGCAGACCCTCCATATATTAAACATAAGCATGTATTTTTAATTACAGTACGTGTTTACCTGAGGTTTTTTCGAATTGTCCGTACCATTTGAGCGTCTGTTGTATTAAGTTTCGTAACAATAAAAGCAAAATTCCACTTTATTTTGCTGTCTAATTAATCCTACTCTGCTCGTTAAATTTAAGTACCTGATCAGAATTCAGGTAAATTGCTTTAAATAAATCAATTTTGCCTATAATATGACAAATAGAACAAGTCTTATGGAAGATTTTTGTCGTCTTTTGTTTGTAAAGAGCTTTTTCTTCAATTAAATCGCTCGTAATTGGACCGAACTAATTTTTCAGTCAAGCCCTTTGTGCATATAAGTAAGTACAATTTGAATTCTGCAATTTGTAATGGTCGCAAGAGGGCAACTGAATGGGAGTGTATTAAATTGAAGGTGTGTTCACTCGTTAGTGACAGTACTTTTTCCTATAAAAAATCGAGCTAAGTATACTGTAACAAAAGTCGCAGGTGCAAGCTTTTGTTAATGACATTCCGCTGTGTGTCCAATGAAATCGTAGACTTTTACTTCCTTGGCAGATTTCGTCAAGGCGGGCGCCAAAACAAGCTTGTTTGTTCGAGAACAATCTAGCCAGGGGTCTTTCAAGTCTGCTTGTCGCTTTTTCAAGCCGCTTAGTTTGTTCAACAAGTGTGAATAAAAACAAAGGATAGAGGTAAATAACTCAAGGTGTGTTTTGTCCTTTAAAAAATTTAACAATTTCCCAGCATCAGTTCTGAAGCTATTGTTTTATTATTTTGTCTTTTAGGCTAAGTTGGCTGGCGGGCAAAAAGCGTTCATTCTCGGAAATACTATCGATTCTTACTGGTTTCCATAACAATGAGCAATTTATTTTAGTAAATAGCTGAAACCTGCAAGTGTTTGGACTCGCTGCACCACATGAAAATTACAAAAATTGAAAGAAATTTTCTCACCATGCGGCGAAGCTGAGCAGAGAAAGTTGTGATAAAAAGGAAGTTTACTTTATCTGTTGCTGAGCTATTGATATACCGTCGGGTTTCTTCACCAAACCTACAAACAATGGCGCACGAAAAAACCGGCGAAGAAAATTCCGTCAAGGTTGTCGCTCAAATGGCTGTATTTACCTTTATCATAATAGCAACAATTGTAGGCAACGGTTTAATCTGCGTCTCTGTTGTGAAGTTCCGCCATCTTCGAACAAATACGAATTTTATCTTGCTAAGCTTAGCGCTAACTGACCTGAGCATGGTAGTAATCATGATCTTGAATGCTGTGACGACCGTCACTGGGGAGTGGATTTTTGGTCAATGGTGTTGCCGTGCCGTAGCCTCAATCGGTTTGACACTCTCTTTCATTTCCATCCTCCACCTTTGTGTATTAAGCGTGGACCGCTATATTGCTATTCAGAAACCATTCCGCTACCAATTCATCGTCACGAGAAGAAGAGTCATTACAATATTATTGCTTATTTGGTTGTCTGTGGTAGTTATTTTGAATGTACCGCTCGCTGACTTTGAGTTCAGAGCAGATACCTATGGATGCGCGAGTCCTTCGACACAAGGACCTTCTAGAGAATCCCCGTATATCTTTTTCCTTGTGACGCTTTTTGTAATTCTACCATTTGCGATTATTTGCTTTTCCAACGCCGTCGTATTCAAAATAGCGTTCACACAAGCAAGACAGCTTAGCAGAGTGGAACGAAGTCTGCGAGAGTCAGCTGCGGACATCTGTGATCAACACGAACCGCAGCAAGGGGAGAAAACGGTGGAAAATCACTCTCTGAAAAGAGAAATCAAATCTGCAAGAACTTTTGCTCTTGTCCTTGGAATATTCCTTCTGTGTTATACGCCTTTTTACACCGCTGGTACCTACAGAAAGATTGCTGGTCCCATAAAAGTTCCTCGCAGTGTTATGAATATAACAATGTGGGTTGCTTTTGCTAATTCGTTTTGCAACCCAATTGTGTATGGCTTGAGATACTCCCCATTTCGGAAGGCCTTCAAACAGCTATGTTGTTGTGGAAGAAAAGGATATGGGAAGCAAAATTGTAGATTTAAATCCTCTAGCTCTCGACGCGAAAGACAAGACACTGTTTTATCAAGATCGAGTGGTTCTAATGTGTAAAGCCCGAGTAAAACTGAAATTAAATGGACGTAATGCAGTTTTTTTTTATTATTCCTTTTCGTCTTTTTGTTTTATTTGTCGTTCATCGCTACTTTCCGATTCCTTTAGTAAACTAGTGTTTTTTTTACATAAACTCCTAAAATAGAAAAAAAAAATACTTTATCAGACTTTGATGTTGTTCGCATAAGACGGATGCAATAATTTGGAGACATATAAAGATATGTAATTCAATGTTAGAGGTAAGGCAGGCAAATCTAAGAATAAACAACTTTCACAGTCAAAGAAAGATTGATAGCTTTGTTAAATAATTCAATGTTGCCATTTCTAAGGTTTTGCGGTGACAGGTTGGCAGAAATTTCGGAAATTTCGCGTCGGTTTCTTTTTTGTTTTATTGAAATCGACAAAAACATAGATTAGCTCGTCCTTCAGTTTAACAAAGATCAACTAAGATTATTGCCAAGTAATTTTAATAGAAATAAGGAATTCATCAATTTCGAGTGTTGCTGACAACAGCTCATTGATAATACAATACTGTCAGTTAAAAAAACAAGTTTTTCGAAACGTTGTTTTGTTGTACATTGTCAGTTTTGTGACGTTTGCTGGTAATTGTTTATTGAAACAAGACATTTATTAGTTATAAATGCAAACGAGCTGGATAAAGTCGAGATTAAATGAATGTTAACCTTATGCAGCTTTTACTGTTTCGACTCATGAATGTTATTAAAAAAATATATAAAATATATATATAGAAACAAAGATATAATTTGCTAGCCTGCTAGAATAACGCACTGACTCATCAATAATCATGGCAAAAGTTGGTTTTAATTTCAAATGTCAGAAAATTTGAATAACAAAAACTTGTTATTGATGAAAATGAAAGTCATGAAAAGTACACGTTCGGACTTTTTTGTTAGTCTTATGCCAGGTGTTTTTTCAGCGAACAGAACAATTTATCTCTCAGCTTCTTTCGCCTGAATGATTGTCGATCCAGAAGCGAGCACGATAAAGAATAAACATGGAACTTGTTGCGCTAAATATGAAGAGCTCGTCGCCGTCTGGAAAACGTCATGGAATGTAAATGCTGTACGAACATTGAACTGCTGAATAAATGCTTTATTTATTTTGCGCTAGTTTCTCAAACAGGGCGTTCTTTCAGTCTAAAGCTGTATAAATTTAACTTATTATAGAGAGCACGCCCGCAAAACTGAATCAATATACCTCGACGAATGATTAACATGTACAAATTAAACTTTCCAAACATCTGCGTTTGAAAACGCCTTGCGGCATGCAGGCTCCCAGAAGTATCTCCTTTTATAAATTTGCACTACAATAAAACCCGTTCACTCCGTTCACTTTTAGTAAAATCGATTAAGGTTGTATTAAAGGGGCTTCCTTATAAAAATGGTTGCCCGAATTAAAGTTTTCCATGGATATACAAAGAGTCCGTTGTAAGGTGGCTCAGGGGAAAAAAAATGAGGGACATCATTCATTCATCCCTCAAGCTCGATGTTGCTTCTTTTGTTGTTGTTTTTTTCCCTTAGGCCTCAGCGCCATGATACAATTTTACAATTTCGAGAATGGCTTATCACGATACGACAGAAACGTTGACTGGTCTGATGGTATTTCTGAGGACAACAAGTTAATCACAGCTGAGTTAAGTTAAAGATTCTTTTATTCCGTGAGCCAAGCACCACATATATCAGAAAACATTCCGTCATTTGAACAATTTTCATAATTTATTGCATTGTTTTTAGATGGCTGAAATGAAAATCTTACACGCCCTAAACTCCTACAGAAATGTTTTTTTTTTTTTGGAAACATCCATATTCACATTATATTCACAAGCTGATCGTACATCTTTGAACAGCATCGTGCCTACAACATCAGCTGTGCGATTGTAATAGACCAATTTCGATATATTAAAATTTAGCCTAACACAATAGACCTCAGCACGAGGCTCTGGGGAATAAACCCCACAAACTCTGTACTTATTCTCCAGAGCCTCGTACTGAGGTCTATTGCTTTACGCTGAATTTTAATATATCGAAATTGGTCTATTCTCGGAAACATTCGTGTTCGGAAATTAATTGCCAAATCATCGTGTTAACTTCGTGAAAACTACCGAGACGTTACCGATGTATGTCATCGGTATTTATCGGTTTCTCTCGGGCTTTTTTCATAACGGCGAGAATTCTCAACATCTTTCCCTACGTAACTCAATTTACCACTTCACTGGTAATTCAAAAATTTAAAATGCTAGTAGCTTTTCATTTGTTTACTTTGGAAAATCCCTTATTCAGGAAGCTTTGAGTTGCTTTCCAAGATATTCCCTGAAAAGTAAAAAAGAAAACATCATTCACTCAAACGATTAAACTCAAACAAAACAACATAGCAAAGAACAACAAGGCAGTGCGATCTACTAGTTGTATAAAGGCATTCCCTTATCAACATTTTTAGCCAGGTTAACACTACCTTGGCCCTTGCCACAAAACAAGAAATTTTCAGTGCTTGTTGTTTAACAAACAAGCAAAGTTTTGAAGAAAGGCATAATGTATTTATTTCCTTGTAACAAGTGACAATGCAGCCTATAAAAGTTTTATAAATTTATACAGCGCCCTGATATTGACAAGGAGCAGCATCTTTTCTCGCTCTTCGCCGGTTAATGTTTTCCCGCGGGAACTGCTGCTTTGTAACATGTTTTCCCACGCCGCGTTTTCACCGGTTTTGTTTTCCCGCGCTTTTCATGAGTTACAATTTTCCCGCGCTTTTTACCGATTGCATGTTCTCCCGCGCGCTTTTCAATGGTTGCATGCCTCCCTTCACTTCTTACTAGTTCCATGCTTTTCCGCGTCGCGTTCCCGACGGTTACGTTTTCCCGCGCTATTCACTTGTACTGTTCACACTTTCTTCCAACACTTGGCAAACTCTTCGGGAAATATGTATAGGGTCAGTATCGATGATCAGTCATCAATCAATCAGTTTACTACACGTTTTGAAACTGCACGCGCGCAGAGATCGACCTTAGATTACTTTCAAAGCAACATTCACGAGGAAACTGCTACGCCAAGACCGTACCTCGTAACAGCCAAACCGAGGCACTTGCCTCAGTCATTTTTATTTTGTTTTGTTTTATTTTGTTTTTGTTTGTTTTAAGTCATCATAAACACCCTAAATACCTAGGAAGTACCTAAATACCTAGAAAGAGAATTTAACCATGGGCATGCTTCAGTCATAGTTTGGCGGATCTATAGGGGAGGGGCCCCGGGAAGCCCGGACCCCCCTTATTTTGGGTAAAAAACTCAGAAGGAAGAAAACCCGATAGAGGAAGCAAATCCCCCCCCTTAACGCAAGGTCTGGATCCGCCACTGCATTGCCTCACTCAACTCAAAATAATTTTTTTTTGGCTATGGCCATGTACGCCCAAAAATATTAAGTAATTAAGGCAAAGTGTACCGTAAGACCTTACCAGTTATGGACCATGAGTTTCTGTACAGCCAGGAGGGCCTCCTTACGTACGTTAGGGTCATTATGTGTCATCATCTTCATGACCGTCACTTTACACCCAAGATTCTCCAGTACGCTAGGAACAAAAGAGTACACAAATCCTGTATGAAGACATGATTGATCATCGCAGTTATATACACAACTTAATCAGTTCTTCATATCTTTCTCCGCAGTTCAAATATATGATCTTAGTATATTCACTTTCAGTATAAGATCAACTATCGTTCTGTCACGAATACCGTTCTCTGATTGGCTACGCTACTCAATATCTATTCTGTGATACATAGTGAGTAGCGTAGCAGTGTACCCTTGTTAACAAAATGACGGTCGCTTCTTGACGTTTTCTAAGTGTCTGTGAAGAGGATTTAAAGAAAGTTTTGAACGACTAGTAGATTTATACTAAAGCAATTAGATTATTCGCTCTCGATTTCTATTCGCGATAGCTGACTCGGGCTGCGACCTCGTCAACTATCACGCGATAGAAATCTCGAGCTCATAATCTAACTGTTTGGTGGAACACATCTTAGTTACAACGAACATCGTTGCAGTTGTTCTGAATAGGTCGAATGAGCCTATGACAATTAAAGGCTGGTTTCCATATGATCGCAGACGATCGCAGACGATCGCGGATCGCAAATCGCAGATCGCAGACGATCGCAAAGAGAGTTGTTTCCATATAATCGCAGACGATCGCAAGCGATCGCAGAGCCGACTGTTGCATACATTTCGGACAGCGGAACTGTCAAAATTACACGCGTGTTGTACTGGCGGGAAATCGCAGCAAACAATATGGCGGACGTCGAGGAGGAAATTTTGCTGCAAACAAATTTATTTCTTCTTTTAGTCAACCTATTTTGAAATTC